ATAATTTTAAAAGACAAAAAAAAAAACGAATAATAAATATTTTAGAACAATCTTCCTCTAGTACATGAAGAAAATCTGGGTGGTGAACTAACAATAACCCTCTTAATGATCAAAATCTGGATATTGGTATTCTTAATCTGAAAGGTTAATAAAAGGCTAAATTACATTAACCCAATAAGAATATCACACTAATAACAGATACGGAAAACTGAAGATTTGTGAAAATCATAAAAACAGCTAATGGAAACATTAGTTTAATTAAATATATTTAACTTAATAACGTTTGTTTGATACTTAACATAACGAATTTTCTAAAAAAACAACCTATGAAAACTTATATTCATACTATTTTTTATTTTCACGCATAAGAGAACAATAGACGATAATTTTTCTTTCTTACTTACTTACTAGTATCCCTATGGGTCCATAGGAATGTTTCCATACTCGTGAACCCAATATCTAATTTTAACAATTGGTTTGTCTTCATACCTCGTTCGATAATGAGCACCAAACATTCCATCGTCTCGATACCTTGTTCGGTATAAGGATGAATCATATCTCTCAAGCCTTTCTAGTATGGTACTTTCTAGCCCCGTTCGACTGAGGTAATGCTCATGGTAGGGTTTCTCATGTACCGGGTTCGTCCACCATTTTTCTAGGTACCCATTAAGGTTTTCACACAAAGATTTTTATTAATAAAACAACCAATAAACATATAATAATAATTTATATTATATTTACATATCAATTAAATTACATTTATGCAGACTATGTAACTTATCATAATAAAAGATCGAGTAACCAGATAACTAAGTAACCAGATAAATCAATAACATCATTGAAACTATAAATTAAAAATATGTACAATACGATAACAAGCAAGTAAGACAATAAAAAAAAAAACAATAAATCAAGATAATTGTGAACTAACTGGTTCCGACTCCATTACTCACCTATAATTATTTTTAGAATTTTTTAAATTTTCACAAAAATACAAAATTATACATCATTAAACCCTAATTTATTGTAACGGATAATAGAGTAGTGATGGATCTTTATTCGGATTGGTGTTTCGAGATATCGCGATGTCTACCACGCCTCCTAATGAGTTTCCTAAATTTTTCTTACAGAATTCAAAATACTTGTCACGTACCTAAAAATACTCTAACAATTCAAAATCGGTGTCCAAAACTCTTTCTGACCAATTTTGAGGTTTCGGCACGGCATCACTGTCGTGCTCCGGCACTAGCTACGCCGCCCATGGCGGCAGTTCGGCCTAGCATGTTTTGGCCGGTTTTACACGTATCCCTGTAAAAAAAATACGTTAGGAGTTTCGGTTGGCCGAAAAATCACAAAAGGCCGAACCTACCGATGGAGGGGTCTCCAGGTGCGACAGCTTTACCGGTCCTCCTTCGCGGCTGAGATTCCTTCTTCGGCTAACCTGCATAGAAAAATACAATGAATACAATGATTGAGAAATCGCGTGAAACAGAAAGCAGAAGGGGGCCCATCGGAGGAATTTTTTTGGTTTTGGCCGCGGTGGCTCCGCCGGGCTTAACCCGTAGTTTCCGACTCACTCGCTGTCTCTCTTATTCTGATTTGGCGACAATGATGCTCGGAATTGAATTTCGAGTGGGTAAGAGAAAATTTTACCTTTTTTGGCAGTCGGCGGTGGCTCTGGTGCGACTGCGGTCAGCAGTCGACCTTCTTCTCCGTCATCTGATTCTTCTTCTCCGGCGGGAGCTGGCGACTAAAGTTTGGGTTTCTCTGCGACCCGAGATATTTATACTCATTTCGCGTTGATCTGGACTGTTCATTGCGATTAATCTCATCCGTCCTATCGCGTTTAAGAAAAAACGAATTTGGACTATTCATCGCGATTGATTTTATCCGTCCAATTGTGCTTAAAGAGAGAATAAATATGAACCATTCACGCACGCAAGATCGAACCTGGGCCGTCAGATCGCTGGATACGTGGATCGCCTGCATGACCTCCCGCGTGACGCTGACGTCAGTATATTTTGGCACATGACATGTTCCAGTTCATCAGGGTTACTAACTAGGTCGGGTTACTAACTAGGTCGTGCTACGTGGTAGATTTTTTTTTTTTTTTTGTACTTTAACCTCATATTTTCAATTTTTTTTCAAAAAAAACACCTCCTAAATTTAATTTTTCATTAATTTTTTTTAAAATTATTTTTAATTTCGCCTTCAATCAATTTTTTTAAAACAATTTAATAAAACAAAACTAAAATAAATTAATTAATTATTTTAATAAAATAATTTCATAAAACAATTTTATGTCTGAGTCACTTTTCGGCCCAGATATTACAATAATTAATATATATTATTAATTTATATATATATATATATATACTTTTCCAAGTGGATTAGTATGCATATATATATATATTATCATGACACATTCATCACCGGCTAACTACCTTAATTAACGTAGAGCTTCGTGAAGAATTATTAATTAGTATTTTATTATAAATCTTTAGTGCATTATTATTATTAAATACATATAGTTGCATCTATGATAAAGACGATGAATTTTTTTTAATAAAATTAAAAAGTTAGTCGAATTTTGTCTAATAATAATATAATATTTTTTTGCCTAAATATATCATAATTCACCAGATTAAATATAATTTAATTATTGTAATTTTATTAATAATTATTTAGCTAAATTAGTGGTATGGTTTTTCATTTATAAAAGGATATGAGTTTAAGCTGGATGATTAGTATTTAATTGATAAATGTATAAATATTAAATATATATGTATGAAAATTTTATATTTATAGAAAGTATTATAATTTATTATTATTAAATTAAAAAATTACAATAATAAAAAAACTTTCCTCCATTGTTAAAACTCTCTTGATTTTTACTTTTATTTTTTTTAAAAAAAAAAAGAGAAAAAAAAAAGGCACCAAGATTTTACATAAGGAATTTAAAGCTGGTAACAACCAAACTGCAATTACCATTACTTACAAGTGTCTGCATATGTGTGTGTGTCTATATATATATATATATATATATGTCTATAATACATAGAACCACATTTAATTCCTTCACTTGCCAACTAAATGAGCTCCATCTGTCCCTGTTCCACACTCTCTCCATCTCCCTCTCTCTCTCTTTCTTCTTCTCCCACATTTGTTATGTGTGTGAAGCAGAAGCTTCCGCCATTGATATCACCATAAATGGTTTAGTTGTTTGGTGACTGTTGATCCCGACTGCCCACTCTTCCATCGACACATGCCCACCACGAGATGAGGACTACCATATTGCTCCCTCTCAGATAACCCCCATCATCATCATCATCATCATCATTTCCATCTTCTTCTCCTTCTTCTTCTTCTTCTTCTTCAAGGTGACTGGTAGCTGTAAGTGGGAAAATGGAGATAGAGTTGGCTGGGGGTGGAGGTGGCCATGGCACGTATTTGGTCTGGACGGATCTGACGGTGGTGCTGCCCAACTTTGGGCAAGGACCCACCAAGAGGCTCTTACAGGGTCTTCATGGTTATGCGGAGCCTGGCAGGATCATGGCCATTATGGGTCCTTCTGGTTCTGGCAAATCCACTCTTCTTGATTCACTTGCAGGTTTCTTTTCTTCCCCCCCTCTCTCTCTCTCTCTCTCTACACTATACACAGACACACACACACACACTGTATATACATGTCTGGACGTCTATTATGTTTTTTTCTTTCAATATTTTTTATATGTATATAAATATTTATAAAAAACATTTTCATATTCCTGGTTACAGTATAAATAATTGTTTTGCTTTTTTTTTATTAGTTTAAACTGTTAGATAATTGATTCAATCAATTAGTTAAAAATTGTATCAGAATTAGATTGAAAAAGAATTTAATTTTAATATACAAGTGATATATTATATTTATTTTGATATAATTTTAGACTGAAGATATGTATTTAAAGTTATTTTGAAACAAATTTAGTATTTTTTAAAAAATATTTTTGCTCATAAGTGATATATTTTTTTTGTTCTTTAATTATATTTTCTTTTCAATTAAGGTGGAAAAGAACTTATTTTTTTCTCTGTATTTCAAGTTTGTCATCTACATAATTGTCAAATTTATAGCCCAAACGACTCAGTGAGATCTTCTGTCCATATAATGTGATTATTATGATGCATAAATATATATATATATGTATATATGTATGTATATGTTAGGAAAATATATATATATATATGTGTACGTATACAACAATTCATTAGTTCAGACAATTTTCGTGTTCCTTATTTACATGCATGTGAAAAGTAATTTTAGTAGTTGAAAACATTAAAGCTGTGACCAAACAGTAGGGAGTAGGGACCAATGGTCAATTTTTCTATATAAATATACACACACACACACACATATATATATATATATATGTATGTGTGTATATTCGACTGTAATGCAATATATATGATATATCTAATGTATGTGAAGATTTAAAATAATTTCAAATGTCATTTAGTAGTTTAGCTAGGTAGATTGGATATTAATTATTTGTGTGTGTATACATTAATATAACATATATATATATATCTATATATTATATAGCTGGCTTTCAATTTCTCCGCCGTACATTAAATTAGAAAAAATCACACGTACACCATTTCAATTTCCAGGACCGTCTTACCTTTCAACCTTAAAAGTGTTGGAGCCAATCCCATTACTTCATAATTTTATAAATATGAAAATTTTTCTTGAAAATTATGTAAATAGAAATTAAAATAATCATGAATTATCTTCATCTTCTTCGTTTTTCGTATTAATTTTTGGTTCATCACGTTGTTACAGGCAGACTCTCAAGAAATGTGATCATGACTGGTAATGTTCTTTTCAATGGCAAGAAGAAGAGATTAGACAATGGTTTAGTTGTAAGTATACACATTTATAAAGACATATGTAGTGTTCTTACTCAAAGCTATACGTTATTAACAATACCGCATATAATTAATATGATATAAGAGGTTTTGTATATTGTCAAGTAAAATAAAAACATATTAAAGAGAAAATTTATATACGTATATGGGTGTAATAATCAACAAAATATATACAAATAAAAAAAAAAAGTATTCTTAACGTATACAAATGTAAATTTCAGGCGTATGTTACGCAAGAAGATGTACTATTGGGAACCCTAACAGTGAGAGAGACCTTAACATACTCGGCCCACTTGAGGCTTCCTTCTAACATGACAAAACAGGATGTGAGTGACCTTGTGGAGGGTACCCTTATGGAATTAGGGCTTCAAGAATGTGCAGAGAGACAGATTGGGAACTGGCATGCAAGAGGCATAAGTGGTGGAGAGAAGAAGAGACTGAGTGTAGCCCTAGAAGTCCTCACAAGACCTCATGTCTTGTTTCTTGATGAACCCACCAGTGGACTTGACAGTGCTTCTGCCTTCTCTGTCATTCAGACTCTCAGAAACATTGCTAGGGATGGTAGGGTTGTTATCTCTTCCATTCATCAGCCCAGCAGCGAGGTTTTTGCCCTCTTCGATGATCTTTTCTTGCTCTCCTCCGGTGAGACTGTCTACTTCGGAGAAGCTAAGTCCGCCGTCCAGGTAATCATAATATAATTCTTTAACAATAATAATAAAATACATAGTTTAACTCGAACTTAACAAGTTTTATTAATTTTGACAGTTCTTTGCTGAGGCGGGTTTTCCGTGCCCGAGCAGAAGAAATCCTTCTGATCACTTTCTCAGATGTATAAATTCGGATTTTGATGCTGTGACAGCCTCATTGAGAGGATCTCAAAGAATACATGTATATCACTTCTCCTTTAGCTAGTAATTTTTTGAACACTTGTTTAACCTAATATATTTTTCTAATTTTAATTTATTTATTTTAAATTTTGATTACCCACATTAACTTGGTATGTTCAGAATTTTAATAATAATTTTTAATAACGAACTAATTCAATTAAGTCATATTTAATAACTAATATATGTTATGGTTGTTCTTCTATGAAATCAATTTTAGGATGTTTCAACATCCTCAGATCCTCTGATGAACATGGCAACTGCAGAGATTAGAGCCAGGCTTGTTGAGAAATACAGGCGCTCATCATATGCAAAAGAAACCAAAGCTCGAATTAAAGAACTATCAAGTATCGTAAGTGAAATATTTTTTATTATTGTTTTATCAAATAAATTTTTCTTAATAAGTTTACGTATGAGTTGAATTATGTTATTCTCTAATACAAAAAATAACTATCGATATCGAGGTTATTTATTTGCAGGAGGGACAGGAGATCGAAGGAAAGTGCGGTAGCCAAGCGAGCTGGTGGAAGCAACTTTTAACTTTGACAAAAAGATCATTTGTGAACATGTGTAGAGATGTTGGATACTATTGGGCAAGAATTGCAATTTACATGGTTGTTTCAGTTTGTGTTGGCACCATTTTTTACGATGTTGGCTATAGCTATACCGCGATCTTAGCTCGAGTAGCTTGTGGTGCTTTCATAACGGGTTTCATGACATTCATGTCCATCGGTGGCTTTCCCTCCTTCATAGAAGAAATGAAGGTAAGTTTTAAAACATACATAATAAATTGAGTCATTTCTTATTATTTTTCGTATAATATTGGTGTTTCGAAACAGGTATTTTATCGAGAAAGACTAAATGGATACTATGGAGTTGCAGTATTCATCTTATCAAATTACATATCATCATTTCCATTTTTGGTTGCGATCTCGGTTATTAGTGGAAGTATAACATTTTACATGGTGAAATTTCGATCGGGATTTCAACATTACGTCTTCTTTTGCCTTAATATCTTTCTTTGCATCTCCGTCATAGAGAGTCTCATGATGGTTGTTGCTTCTCTTGTTCCGAATTTCTTGATGGGAATTGTAACCGGAGCGGGAATTATTGTAAGATCAACTTCTTGCATTTTTTTTTTTCAAACTTAAATAATTCCCAACATGACAGAAATTCAATTTGTCAATTTTTTTTTGGGCTGGCAGGATTATATGATGACATCGGGTTTTTTCGATTACTTCCTGATCTTCCGAAGCCATTTTGGCGGTACCCGATTTCGTATATGAGTTACGGATCATGGGCAATTCAGGTAACTTTGGTTCCAAGAAACTTATTGTACATGTCTTAACTTGTCAATATAACAACATACTGACTCACATTTATCTCTTGCAAATTACAATTGAAATATATATATATGTGCATATTGGTGTAGGCTGCATACAAGAACGATTTTATAGGTCTCGAGTTTGAACCTCTCGTACCTGGAGATCCGAAATTGACAGGAGAAGAAGTGATCATAAAAATATTCGGAGTGACAGTAGAACATTCCAAATGGTGGGATTTAGCCGCAATCGCTCTCATCCTCGTCTGCTATCGCCTTCTCTTCTTCTTCATTCTCAAATTTAAAGAAACAGCTTTTCCATTATTTAAGTCAATTTACGCGAAGCAAACAATCAAACAACTCGACAAGAGACCTTCTTTCAGAAAAATTCCATCGCTGATATCCTCGAAGAGGCACCAACCTCTCCATTCTTTGTCTTCGCAAGAAGGTCTTAACTCTCCCCTCCATTAATCTTATATTGTTTATAAGAGAATTTCCTAAGTGTGCTGCAATTACTTATACAATTATTGCAGTGCAAATTTGTCTTGTACTTGTATGTATCTACTTTTGTAGCTTAATTGAAACCAATATTGTTCAACATAGACATCAAAATCAAAAAAGAAAAAGAGATTACACAGAGTTGGTTTAATTTTTTTTTTTTTGGGGCAGAAATTATGAGATAATTTTAAATTATATAACAACATTAGTTTAGTAATAAATTGTATAATATATACATATATATATATATAAAATTATAGAAATTGTTGTAACCATGTCCGCCATGGACTTGGACCAGGGTGGTACTGGGAATTATGGGTCATTATGGTAAAATGATGGGTCGTTTTATGTTGGCATTAGGAGCGTTTTGCTAATTGTGGGCTTCTCTCCTTCAACTGTATTTCTGAATTCAGACCCATATGTTACAAACCTATTGGGTATAATTTTTTAAATAATAAATTCAAAAAAAAAATATTTTAATAATATAAAATAATATATTTTTCTCTTAATTGAATATTTTTTATAAAAATATATATTGAAATTGTAAACTTTTGAAAATTTATATATTTTTTTACTAGGCAACATATATTATATGTACATATATATATATGTATATATGATGTATTTTTGGTTTCTTTTTGAAAGACCAACAAGCAAGACAAGTGTTAGATGATTGTTTTCATTTACTCTTGTTCATCCATAGACATCATAACTCATGAATCATGATGACATTTTTCTTGAATGGGTGAATTGAAAAATCAGTCCCCACATCCCAACAAATCCTAATATTGGAATTCCATGCAACAAAAGTCAAATTCAGATTCATGGTCTATACATATATATATATATATATATATGTATATTGGATTATATAGGTGGAGCTATAATTATTCTATCTTTCAATCAATGCTCACTGCCCCTCTTCAAAACCAAAAAAAAAAAAAGAAAAAAAGTTATCAATGCACATTTTATAAATTTTGTAAATATGAAATATATAGGTAGAATTTTGATCTTAAAATGACATTAACATAAATGTAGAATATGAAAAACATATATAAATATATGTATATATTATTTTCAAAAAGTGTAACGACCTTAAAAATTTAAAAAAAAAATAAATTATAAATTTAGTGCAAAAGCGAAATAAATAGTTAGGATTTACATTTTTTACACAATAATTGAAATCACTAAATAAAATTTACGGAAATAACTTTTCTAAAATAATAACTAATAACTAAAAAAATAAATTAAAAATAAATAATTAAACGTCCTACTCGCAATCCTCTTATGGATCGGATTCTGGATCCTGATCCTCTTAGTATGAAATAGTTAATAAAAGAATGAATTATATTAGTCTAATAAAAATATCACGCTACTTATCGACACAGAAATAAAAGTTGGTAAAAATAATAAAAATAATTAATAGATTAAGTAAATTCGTTTATCATAAATAAAATTATTTATCATCTACTTACCATAATGAGATTTACAAAAAAAAATAACGTATAAAGTTAATAAGATAACACATATCATAATTTCATGTGCAATCGGTTTGAATAACAATCTTCTCTTTTATCACCCTACTGGTATCTATGGGGGTTCATAGAGATATCCTTATTATGCATAAACTATTTTCTTTAACATTTTTATTAACGGGTCGTCCTCATACCTCGTCTGGTATGAGGATGAAACGGGTCGTCCCTATATCTCGTCCAGTATGAGCACCAAATTATTAAATCTCGATACTCCATTCGGTATAAGGGTGAAACGGGCCGTACTCATACCCCGTTCGATATGAGCACCAAATTATCAAGTCTCGATACCCTGTTCGATATGAGACAACGTTCACGGTAAGATTCCTTATGTACCCGATCTGTCCACCATCTTCCAGAATATCCAGTAAGGCTGTCGTTTCATTAATTCACTTAATCACACAATTTTTCGTTTACCCTTAATCTCCAGTTTTTCAATTCAACCGTAATTACATAAAACAAATAATACATGCACTCAAAATTATAAAATCGATCAATTAGATATTATCATACATTCAGACTGTAAAATAAATCAACATGATCAATCAGTGAATAACTTCTGGTTCTGCCTCTATTAGTAACCTGTAATTAATTATGAATATTTTTAAAATTTCACAAAATATCGTATTATTATTATTAGACTTCAATTCCATAATAGAGAATAAGTTGAGGGATTCTTACACAAATTGATGTTCAAAATGCTAAACTTTTGGTTGCGCCTACTAGCGGCCCCTAGGTTCCCTGTATTTTTCTTCGGGAATTAAAACGCGCTTCAAGTACATAGAAATATCTAAAAAAAACCTAAAATCAGTGTTAAGAACCCCTTTTGGCCAATTCTGGAATTCCAGCATGGTGGCTCTGCCGTGTTCTGGCGACGGCACCACCGCCCGCGGTGGCGGTTTGTGTCGGATCGAATTCGGTCGATTTTGTATCAATCCTTGCGAGAAAGCACGTTAAGAGGTCTCAGTTGGCTGAAAAAAATCGAAAAACTGAAACTTATTGGCGACAGGGTTCTCCGTGCGGCGGCTCCACCAGCTCATCTTTGCGGTTGGGTGTTTTACTTCGATCAACCTATAGAAAAGGAAACGGTTATTATAATGGTGGAAGAATTACGCAGAACAGAAATCGAAAAGGGCCTCATTGGAGGCATTTTTTGTATTTTTTTCTAACAGCACTGCCGGATTTTACCTGTAATTTTCGGCCAATCTGCCGGTCCTTTTACTCCGATTTGGCCATGTGAGTGTTTGAAATTGAATTTTAAATAAATAAAATTTTTTTTACCTCTTTTGACAGTCGAAAGTGGCTCCGGCGCAGGGGTGGGCGGCTACGGTTAGGGTTTGGTGTGAATAGGGTTATTTATATTCGTCCCTTTTTAATCTGGACAGTCCATCGCGTTTGATCTGGACCGTTCGATCGTAATTAAATAGGGAGTGAATCTGGACCGTCCATCGCTATTTGATCTGGGTCGTCCGATTCCGTTTAAATAAGAAGTGGATCTGAACCATTTATTGCGTTAAATCGTGGCCGTCCAATCGCGTCTGAGGAGGAAGCGGATCTGAACTGTCCGTGCACGTGAGAACGGATCTGAACTGTCCGATCGCGGATACGCGGATCACCTGTGTGGCCTCCCACATGGCACCGCGTCAGCGTCCCTCGTCACGCAGCGCGTTCCAGTTCGTCAGGACTGCTGACTGAGCGTTTTACATGACACAATTTTTTTAAATTACGTTTTGACCCCTAATTTTCAAATTTTTTTTCAAAAATATCCACAGAACTCAAATTTTCACTTTTTTTTTTCAAAATTGTTTTCAATTTCATCATACAACTAATTTTTTTCTAATTTTACATTAAATAATAAATAAATAAAATAAAAAATTAAATTATATATATTAATTTAAATATTACAATTTAAATTTTGGATATTATAAAAAGTCTTTACCAGCCAGCTGGTGCAGGACCTCACATGAAAGCATTAATGGTGGTGAGAGGCTGCTCTGATCAGAATTCTCCCTGTTTACTGCTGCTTATCTAATCACCGATTTTTTGTTTAAGCAGTCACTTACTAATTTATTGTTGCATTAATTGATAACTTATATATATATATATATATATATATATTTATATATTTATATTTGCAGTTGAATTTATTAAAATTATCATCCTCAAAGTCTGTATGTGTGTGTGTGTGTGTATATATATATATATATATATATATATTTTTTTTTTTCAAGTTCATACCCAAATAATTTAAAATTTACCTACTTCAAGATATGGATAGGATTTAATTTAAAATAATCCAGCACAAAAAGAATTTTGTGTGTGTATATATATAAATATATAACAGTTGTGTGTGTATAAATATAATATATATATATATATATACATTCTCCGTATGATATATGTTTATGAATTTTTTGCATTAATTAATATTAGTTCTTTGCCATCAGATTTATATATAAGATATGTTAATTAATATAGTTCTTGAAGTCACAAATTAAATAATTAATCAATGATTGGTCGTGCAAACAATAATAATTATTACATTTGTATGTAAGGGATGTTCAATTTTTTTATTAGGTTGAAATTTATGTGATATTAGTAATCTATTCTAATATATTTTACAATATAAATATATATATATATACATTTAATATATATATGTGTTAATTATAATATAATATAAATAATTTTAAAATAATAATACATAAAATATCGTTTAATTCAAATTTATAATTTTTTTATAAAAAAATATATATCAATAATTAAATTAAATGGTGATAGATATATTTTTGTATATTACGATTTATTATTTATTGTATAAAATAATTATGAGTAAAATAAAATTATAAGTTGAAGTGGAAAATTTAAAACCTAATTATAGCATTAGGAAAAAAGAATTGAAAATTTGACTTAATAGTTTACCTTTTTGGACTGAACAAATTCACATGGTTAAGCCTAATTACCATAACTCAATTTCACCTAATTTCCAGAACTCAGTTTCACATGCATTATATACGTAGACATATATATATATACACATATATATGTACATATCATATAGAAAAGGAAGTTTACAAAACAAAGACAAACAATACACAAGCAAGAACCTGTAGTTTTACTTATGCCTACCTTGAAAAACCCTTCAAGATCATCCATATAAACATATCGGCGCCACTAGTTTTGTTGGAAGTTGAAGTTAGCAATAAATTCAGTCTGTCTCTCTTTTTCTTCTTCAAAAAAAAATGTAACTTTTATATATAATGGGTGTATATTAATATCGTAGTTTAAACAGTTCATTGATAAAAATTATATAGATTTCATTTTACATTGTATAGTCAGTTCAAAATTTTAAGAAACTATTAGTAAAAAAGTGATACCTTATTGTGATTCTGGCTTTCTGGGATCCCTACTACTGTGTGTGTGTGTGTGTGTGTGTGTGTATATATATTTGTGTCTGATAAACTCTTCTGCTCTTCAGTTCCTCTCTTCTTCCACCTGTCTCTTTGTATTAATGGAAGCATGTTGTGTGGTAGGTTTGGTCAGTTAATACTTCTAACCATTAATTACTTCCCATCACTAATCAACCATACCTCCCTAAATATACATATATATATATATATATGAATCCCATTCTCTTCATCATCTTCTCATTTATACACTCACATAGATTACATGCATCTGCCTCCATTCTGGTTCTCTTTGTTCTCTGGGTTTTGGTCCTTTTTCTTTTTAGAATTTTCATAATTACTAAACTCTTTCATTCCCTGTAAATCCCAATGTGTGTGTGTGTGTGTGTGTGTACATATGACGAACTGGCTAGTCTTCAATAACTTAATCATAACCTACTTATAAATCTCATACTGTCTTACATATCATCTTGTACCTTATATATATTGAACATAAATTATCTAACGTTTAGGTCTTCGTGTTGAAACCAAGCGAAAATAGCTGATGGGTAGTGTGGAGGTGGAGGCGGAGGTGGGCGGAGGCGGCAGCTGTCGTGACGGTGGCAATGCCGGCGGGGGAGGAGGAGGGATGTACTTAGTGTGGGAGGATTTGAGGGTGGTGGTGCCAAATTTTGGGAACGGTCCAACAAGAAGAATCCTAAATGGTCTAACAGGGTTTGCAGAACCAGGAAGATCATGGCCATTATGGGGCCTTCTGGCTCTGGCAAATCCACCCTTCTTGATGCTTTAGCATGCAACTTACATATATATATATATATATATATATATACACACACACACACACACATATGTTTGTGTGTATCACCTCCTTTCCATCATCACCATTACCATCATCATCCTATGTTTATGCTTCATTCATTTAGTTGTTATTTTCCAAGGAAGAAAAGCCAATTAATACTCCAAAAAAAAAAAAACCAAGTGATCTTAACTTCTTGAATCAATAACTATCTTAACATTCATATTTTTTTTTACTTTATTTTCATAATTTTTATAGTAGAAACATGTTAATTTATTATGCTCTGGAAGTACCTAACAATTACTCAAAATGAAGTTCTTAAATTTTGAAAATCGAATCTAACAATTTCACAAGCTTTTAAAAATTGAAGAAATATTTTGAAAGAGGAAGTTGAGTAAAAATTAATGGAAGATCATCTAAAATAGAGATGTTGCAGGAGTAGTTGAAAATTGGTCAGTTTCAAAGTTTCCCCAACTTAGCTCATTAATTACGTTAACCTAATACAACACAATAAATTTTCTTTTATCATCTTTTAAGATTATGGGAAAATTTAATAGTTGCAAATGGACAGAGTCTCATTTATTTCTACCTATATTACATAGTCAGTCACCTTATAATCAATTATACTATACAGATACGTGTGTGTGTGTGTACATATATATGTTATACGTATACGTGTGTACTGCATGCATCCTCATATAATTTTCGATATACAAGGTTGGTGCACGTACCACGTCTATTTTGTTTCCCCTCGTGATTTGGTAACATGGAAATTGTCATTGTCTGTCCTTTTAACTATTTCCCATGTTCATGTTAGGTAAGTTTTGTTTGGTTACAAAGAAAAAGTTTTGTTTGGTTAAGCTAGCTAGCACTATTTGTTAGTACTCATAATTAAAGATTTGATCAGTTTGGTTCTGTTCTCTCTCTCTCTCTTAATTAACTGTGTCAATCTAAGGTTAGATAAAAATAACTCAAACAAATATATATGTATATATATATATATATACATGTATTTAAAATGAAAAACTAGAGTGAGAATTTACTTACTAGGAAGATAATAGAAATTTAATCGAATCAATCTTTTTTTGTTGTAACATAATTTAATTATGAACATTTTTTTGATAACATATAAAAATATCTTTTTTTTAGTTCATTTTAATGAGAAGTTCAGATTTTCTCATGTGGGTCATTTGTATAATGATATATAAATGACTGTATGAGTATATGCATATGCAGGTAGAAAGTATCTTCTTTTAGTTGAGTGGAATTAGAACTTCAGAATTTTCTCATGTGGGTAATTTCTATCATGATATATAAATGACTGTATGTGTATGTGTATGTGTATATGCAGGTAGATTATCAGGAAATGTTGTCATGAGTGGAAATGTTCTTGTTAATGGGAAGAAGAGGAGGTTGGAGTATGGCGGTGCTGTAAGTAACTAATAAATATTCTCAATTTTCATTCTTTGAAAAAAAAAATTAATTACCTAATGAGAAAAAGATACATATATATTTAGCTTGTGATATTTTCTCTCTTTAATTAATTTATTTTTTATCTATAATTCTACAAGCACTTAAGTTTAATAAGAAAGTTTAAAAGCCACAAGAAAATCTGCATTCCCCCCAATAATATTCAATTAAGATAATCCAGAAAGTTTGCTCATGTACCTGGAAAAATCTCAGGCTTATGTGACTCAAGAAGACATATTTTTGGGAACCTTGACAGTGAAGGAAACCATAAGATACTCTGCCCAACTGAGGCTCCCAACTACACTAACAAAAGATGAGATAATCGGGATTGTCGAAGGGACAATCACCGAAATGGGTCTTCAAGATTGTGCTGATCAGCTGATTGGTAACTGGCACTTGAGAGGGATCAGTGGTGGCGAGAAGAAAAGACTCAGCATTGCACTCGAAATCCTTACCAGGCCCCGTCTTTTATTTCTTGATGAACCAACTAGTGGTCTGGATAGTGCCTCTGCTTTCTTTGTTGTTCAGACTTTGAGGAACATTGCTCATGATGGCAGAACTGTTATCTCTTCAATTCATCAGCCCAGTGGTGAAGTCTTTGCGCTCTTCGAAGATCTATTTCTCCTTTCTGGCGGTGAGACTGTTTACTTTGGAGCAGCAGCCATGGCTGCAAAGGTATGAGATGGATAGTTTCTTATCAATAAAAGCATCACCTGCACTTGAGAAAGAGTAGAACATGTAATAGTTTCCTTATACTCAATAAATTCGGTCGCTCACAATGATCAAATCAACATGTTTTCTCTTGAAAGTAAACAATTTCTTGGAAAACAGTAAAGGCAAGAGCTTTAATTCATTTCATATTAGAAATTTTAATTATTTGATTCATAAACTTTACATATTTGATGCATTCTGAATCCAAGCATAGAATTCTACAATGGTGAATGTGCATTTACATTTGTCAATAGAGGATTAACAAAAACATTTAAAATGAATTGGATATAAAATTGATTGAGATCTTTAATTTATTTACGCATTCTCGTCTCTATCCATAAAATAGAAATATAAACCAACCTCAATGCAAGAGTGCTTATTTTGTACAATAGTTGGTTGCCTTCTTTGCATATTCAGCATGTTCCAACTGAGTCTGGTATCAATCTTGGCTGCATGAATCTTGCAGTTCTTTGCTGAAGCAGGATTTCCTTGTCCAAGTCGGAGGAATCCTTCAGATCACTTCCTCCGTTGTATCAATTCAGACTTTGATGAAATAACAGCAACTCTACTGGAATCTAGGAGAATATATGCGGTTAGCTACTATTTTATCCAGTTTTACTGTAACTTTTCAGTCTTTTCTCCATGGAATTTACAGTCTTTCTTGCTAACAGGAAGATCAGAACCCATTAGATCCTCTGGAGAATTTACCAACAGGAGAGATCAAAGCTGCACTGATTAAAAAATACAGGTATTCGGAATATGCAGCAGCTGCTAGAGCAAGGATTCAAGACATATCAACAACTGTAAGTGATTCAGACTTTCGTGAAGCCATAAAGTTTAGATGGACTAATCGAATTACAAGAAGCATTTCACATCAATAAATTTCAGAGTTGTCAAAATATTGCATGACAAGCGATTATCTAGGCATTTAATTAAAGGCAAACAGAAGAATTACTACACGAAGATTTATTCTTTTAGACAACACTAAGAAACAAGCAATAGGGATCTGGGTAAATTCTCCACCATGAACAGTTCATCATGTGTTCCTAATTATGCCTTGCAGGAAGTACTTCTTATTGAAAAGAAAAGTGGGAGCCAAGCAAAATGGTGGAAGCAGCTATGGATATTGACCCGGAGATCTTTTGTGAATATGTCCAGAGACTTGGGTTATTACTGGTTAAGAATAGCAATCTATGTACTGTTATCTATATGTGTGGGAACAATATTTTTTGATGTCGGAACAGACTACACCGCAATCATGGCTCGCGGAGCTTGTGGTGGATTTGTATCAGGCTTTATGACATTCATGTCTATTGGAGGCTTCCCATCTTTCATAGAAGAAATGAAGGTATTTGAAAGATTATTGGCTTGTAGGGGGCAATATTCATATCTACAAGGTGTTGGTTCAAGAAAAGAGTAGCAGTAGTAGTTTTAGACTTTCAGTAATTCACTTTCTTCCCTAAAACAGGTTTTTGTTCGAGAAAGGCTCAACGGCCATTATGGGGTTACGACATATGTTCTCTCCAATTTCCTGTCTTCATTTCCATTCTTGACTGTGATGTCCCTTTCGACAGCATCCATCACGTATTACATGGTCAAATTTCAACCAGGAATTTCACATTTTACATATATCTGCCTCGATCTTGTTAGTTCCATCGCAGTTGTAGAGAGCTGTATGATGATGATAGCCTCACTAGTTCCCAACTTCTTGATGGGAGTCATAATAGGAGCTGGATATATAGTAAGAGAGATGCCCTGACTCCTCTAAAGCTTCCTCCCAGTTTCTTTTTATATTATTGTAGTTACAATCACTGGTAATTCTGTTTGTAGGGCATTATGATGATGACATCTGGCTACTTCCGGCTCCTCCCAGACCTTCCCAAGATATTCTGGCGCTATCCTATCTCGTATATCAACTATGGCGCATGGGCATTACAGGTAATCTTTCTAGAATCTACATTTCTTATCTCGAAGAAAAATGCAACAAAATGTTATATTTAACAAAAGAACAGTAGGAAAAAAAAAATGATTTTCGTTCTTTCATAATCATGTGAAATTCAGTTGATAACCACCTTGAAGGATCCACATCAATATGTGAGAAATGCGTAATAATCTTAGAGTTTAAGTAACACTTAAAATGTACAACAGCAGCAAGATGTAAATAAAGCTGACCATAAACTGGAGTTTACCATGTCTATAATGGCAAATGCAGGGCGCCTATAAGAACGACATGATTGGGCTTGAGTTTGATTCTCTAGTACCTGGGGGGCCAAAATTGAAGGGGGAGGTGATTCTTACGAGCATGCTTGGCATTAAGCTGAACCATTCAAAATGGTGGGACTTAGCAGTTATTGTAATCATGCTTATAGCTTATAGACTGCTTTTCTTTTTCATTCTCAAATTCAAGGAGAGAGCTTTGCCTTTGTTCTATACTTTTTATGCCAAGAGGACTCTGCAGCATCTCAAAAAGCGGCCATCTTTTAGGAAAATGTCACCTTTTCCTTCCAAGAGACACCAAGTTCTCCATCCTCTCTCCTGTCAAGAAGGTCTTAACTCTCCAATCCACTAGATGAACAACAAGCAGTGCATGGATACTTGCATATCAGGAGCAATGAGGGAAAGAAACAAGAGCCATTAGATTAAGCTCATTCGTAAGGACATTATTGGTTCTCTTTCCTTCCTGCTTTCCTTTACAGGATCCAAAGGAAAGGCTAACAGTGATATAAATGATCAATCACTGATTAATCATGTCTTTGTAGTAATCTGTCCGATTATTGCTACGTGTACATAGGTGCAGAACTATATATCTTATGGTAAATGAAAATGCGCGGATGAATAAAGACTTCACAGTTACACAGAAAAGGTTATTGCATTCCAAATACCAAAATTCAAGAAATAGGACGACAGAATGACTGTCCATTGTGACCGAGCGCTATACATATTTGAAAAAAGTTGTCAAAAACAGGCACAAGGGGGCGTCATCCATGACAAAAAGAATTTACAAGGCGTTAAAATACAAAAATTAATTTCCAAATATCAACTTCATCTGGGAGAGCTCATGGCACCAACAAAATATTCAAGGTATGGAACCAATTATCTAGAATTCCATCAACAAAAGAGCAAATAAGCTAAAAGTTCTATTTTTTTTCTTCCCAAATGACCCAAAGACTACCACATAGCAGCATTTGAATGATTGTTTCAATTGATGTGGGTGTAAGTATGAGAACGAGTGCACGATTGATCACTTGTTCTATTTACTTCCCATGCCTTCTCAGTTACAGTCACTGGTATGTCCATGAATGGGATTCTCATAAGAAAGGTCTTTTGAGGCATGTGCATTTATACTCTCTTCTGCCTCTACCCACTGTCACAACCGTGACACCACGCCTAAAAGATTAAGTTTCAATAAGATTTGATTTATCCTTTTATTTTACAATTTATTATTTTTATTTTAAAATTAAAAATTGACAAAAATCATTGATTCTATTGGGAGTGAGATTAGACACTAGATTAGAACTAATTTTGACAGAAATCCAGATTAAAATAGTACAAGACAGAAAGGTGTGAGATACCTGCCTCATGGTATAGCAAATTTTTAGAACTAAATGAAAATGAAAGGATAAAACAATGACCAAATAAGAACATAAAATCCGAAATAAACGTCTTAACTTAACCTAACATAAAATAATCTACGCAGATAAAAAAAATGAAAGGATAAAACAATGACCAAATAAGAACACAAAATCTGAAATAAACGGCTTAACCTAACATAAAACTAATCTAGGCAGACGAAAAAATTAGTGTCGGAAATTTTTACCTTATTCAAATTTTAGAATGTTTATCAACTAAGCATACTCAAAAAAGCCCACATTTTGGGCTTTAAACCCAATAACAAAATTTGTCTAGTAGCAACCCAAGACAGTAAATCTTTAATGCTCTAATAAGCCAAACATAACACTTTGATTGAGTAACTCCTAGTTCAAACATGCTCATACCAGAAAGAGGACTCACGAGAGTGAAACTTTTCCAAAAGAGAAGCATACTCATGCAATTTCATTCAAAATAACTTCATTCATTCACCAAACTATACAAACTAAGTCAACATGTTTCCTCAATAGGTTCCACCACATTGTGAATTCACACAAACTTGAGTACTAAAAGAAAAGCTTAACAACATTCATGAAAATCCAAATGAGGGTTCATCAAGCAACAACAACCCTAATCTTTTTCCAATGCAATAACAATGCTCACATTATTCAATCACATGTATTAAACGCAAACATACTTGTTCTTCTTATACTAAGTAAATTCAAGTTCGAAGTTACCTAGCGGAAACCTGAAAGCAGCTGCAAATCCCAGAACTCTTCCTTTTTCGCTTCACCATCTTCTGACATCGCACACAACCTCAAGGCTCTTCCATGCTCACAATCTCGCTCTACTTTTTGGATTCTCATTCAATCCTCAACTTCTCTTCACTCAAGCCGTCTCCTCTCCCAAATTTTTGCCCCCAAAAAAAAAAATCCAGAAAGGTCTCCTCTGTTTCTCTTCTCAAACTCACCTCTTCCTCTCTCTCTCTCTCAAACCTCTCTAATCTCTTCTGGCCTATCAAACCCGATTTTTCCCTTTCTTAGGCGCTCTGTTTTCCTCCAAAAAATCGCCCAATTTTTCCTTTCTCTAATCACCCATTTTTCCCCAGTCATGTCTCTCCCCCCCCACCACCCCCCACCCCCCCCCCAAAAAAAACCCGATTCCCTTCTCTCTTTCTAAGCACTCAGTTCTCTTCGTTTTTGTAGCTGAAGTCCCTTCCTTGCCTCCCCCATTTCTTCCTTGTGTGAGCCAGCTAAAATGCGTCCGTTTCTTCCCCAGTCATCTCACAGGTACATTGAAGTTAAGAAAACTGTCATTATTTCTCAAAAGTACATGAACACGAAGCTTTAATCCTAGAAAAGCCAAAATCCCTGAGCTTTTAGCCTGGCAAATTAAATTAAAATGAGCCACACATGAAATTCTGGAAATGTAAGTGAGAAAAAAGTGTAACCAGTGTCAATGAATTGATGCCTTGTATGGGAACGAGAAAAGAGTGCAAGCAGTGTTATAGTGAATTGATGCTTTAGATGGGAAGCTACCAAACAATGAATCACATCAAGGAAATTCAACAAATTATTAAAGCTACATATCAAGTTATAATTTGTTTATAATTATCAACTGCCAAATCTGAAATCAACTCTTTTTAAAAATTTTAAGGAAAAATCGAATTTACAAAATTCATATGCTCATTGTTAATACTAAATTTAACAGTGACCAATATTACAATGGAATGCCAAACTCAGACCATCTCCAACCCGACACTCATAATAAGGCTGAAAGCGCTGCTTGACAGCTAATTTTCTTATCTTTATCATTGGTCACACCATTTTCAATTCGATTGTCAAATCCATGATAGGGAACCTCAACCATGGACCTGGGAACTGGACGTCCACCAAAATCCTCTGGAAAACATTCAAAGTCTGGCCCAAAGTTGAATTTCACCATACAATTTGGTTGATTTGGAAGAGTATACATTGAAGCAGCAGGGTAGTAACGACCACCATATAAATCCTTGAAAGCAACTCCTTGGCATACTCCGTTCTTGAAAAAAGATATCTCACTTCCTGCGTGGTAAAACAGCACAAGTAAACACTGATATTTCATTGATACCAAACAATTAAACCATGGTAGCCATGAATTTCTATACCTCATATCTTGCAATAAGTGCAAGCGAAAAACTACTAAATTTAACACTTGAAGGTAGCTCCACCATGCCTAATATAGAGCTTAGGAAAAGAGAGACAATAGAAAAACCAAAAGAAGTAAAGCATTAATCTTTTCTTGTCTATTTATTGCATCTTACATGTCAAACTCTCTTACTATCCTTCCTATTTTTGATTTGACGGAAGTTCTTCTTGATATACTACATCATTACCTTTCCAATTAATTCATTACTTAGCCAAAAAGAAAAGGAAAGAAAACAATTAAATAACTACTATCTGCAAAGAGAAAGAGGGGGAACAGAGGCAAAAAGACAGAAGGCACGAACAGATTCCTCAAATAACAGTTGGAGGAAGAGAAATAAAACTATTCATTTTGAAGAACTTCAACTGAACAGAGAACTTGTAAACTTTGGGAATCTTAGCAGCCTAGACGGAAACTAAAAAGTTAATGCTACAACAGTAACTTCAGATAACCTCCAATATATTGCGTCTAAAGTCATAAAAACCATTTCATTAAAAAAAAAGTCATAAAACCAGTTGCCATGTAAAATACATAACCATGGCTCCAAGTTGTAATCAAGACAATGAATGCCCACAATTTCCAAAGGGAACCTTAATCCCCTGATCAAACCGTGGAAATAATCTTGTGCTTGTAACTTCTGGACAACGTGAATCCAGTCTACAAGCTAAGCTTATATAAGGTACAAAATAGTAGCGATATATAAATATAAATGAATGTCCAGTATATAACAAACGCAGAGTGAATTTGACACCTATTGGACACCCATATTCAACAGTAGGAATGAAAAAATTCAACTAGTTTGAACTGACCCAAAGAAACTCATGCCTGGCAGTGAATCATATAAAAAAACTCAAGTACAACAAAGCTTGTCTTTAGACAAACTGTAACTTTTTTAAGGAAACAAAAACAATACTGCATTTGATTCAAATATTAACTTGTGTTAAGGGTAACAAAAGCACTTAACTTGAATTAAACATGGAATTGACTTAGAATTAGAATGTCATTTCATTCAAATCTTTTTCTTGTTTATATCATATCATTATTCATATTTCACAAAATTGAATTTTGAAACAAAACTCAACCTAACTACTAGTGGATTTGCATCAAGCTGTTGCAGCCCGCATACAGTGTTACCTTACAATTGTTACATGTGAAAGCATCTTTAAGGTATACAATTGCTCCCTGATCAAGCAAAAAGCAATCATCGAACCAACAACCGTCATTTAACTGAAAATCTCTAGGTTTCTCTGCTTCCATTGCACCAGAAGGACACGAAGTTGGATCAACGATTGCCATGGCAACCATACAAAAGTGTATTAGTGGATAACTAACAGCATAGTCCCTCTGAAAGGCAACTTAAAAGTACGGGGGGGTCAAATTTCCCAGCAATTTTCTAACCTTAAAAGCTATCTCACCAATCCTTGCACTTCCACCAGTACAACTAAGCACAACACACCCAAGCATCACAACAGTATTTATTTCCTTCTATTTCAAAGAAATTCTAGCAAATGGTCATCAAAAGAATTACAACACAATACCAAAATACCTGTAAGAAACTCTATATAAGTTCCGACCAAATTGCAACACATATATTTCAAGGAAAAGCACAATATCCGCAGGCTCCAAAACGATAGAAAACTAAACTTAGCTAAAAAAGAACACTGCAAAGATGAGCTCCGCAACTAACCTGGCACCACTTTAGGGGGATCCTCCTTGGCATCCGGCGCACACACATATCTCTGCCCTTTATACCAAACCAAATGGGGCGGCATAGGCGCGAACGATGCACCCTCAGGCAAGTTGATATAAAACCCAATAACATCACCTTCCCTGTACCCTTCTTCTCCATACTTCTCCCTTAAAGCCTTATGCACCTTGCTCCCATCAAGGTCCCTGTACCCGAAACTATTCCCATCGTAGCCAACAGGTGCCTGCAGATCCCCTTTCTCTGTCGACCAGCCGAGACGGGTATGGCCCGTCTCCCCCAACTTCACCACCTTTATTTCAAAGTACCAAGCTCCTTCTACAACCCCTCTAGTGGCTCTGACCATTCTATACCCCTTGGTGCTGCCAGCACTAAGTCTGTCCTCGCTCAGCTCAACTTTTTCCGCCTTATAGACTTTCGATAAGCAGATTTTCATGTCCGGAGTATCATCCCCTTTGTCTGGGAATCTAGGGACCGGAGTTATCAGAACTGTATCCTCGGCTGAGGCAGCATTCTGGTTATTGGCTTTATTCTTCTTCTTTCCTTTTCGGGAAGTCTTTGTCACCCACACGTTGTTGTTCTTCTTCTTCGATTTTTTTGCTGCTGTCGTTGTAGGCGTCGCATTTGTTCCATCAACCTTAGGCAGTGCTTCTTTCTCCGGGGAGTGTTGATTCAGCGGTGGTAGTGATGACAGCGAGGTTAAAGAGGAGAGCTGTTTCTGCTTCTTTGGAGGTGGCTCTTCTTCCTCGTCGTCTTCGTCATCCAAGTCACCATTTTGCACCGCATTATTGACATGTTTCGGGGATTTCTGGTTGTCAGAGGATGCCGTCGGGTCGTCCTCGGATAGAGATTCGGATGGCCCACATTCGGGTCCAGGTCGGAAGTCGTTCTGAGGTAGACCACCATTCATAACTCCGGCGCCGTTCTCAGGTCCAGCATCGTTATCGATTCCGCCATCTTTATTGAGTTGGGTTACCGAGGTGGGTGGATCAGTGGATTCAAAATCAGTGGAGGTTGCGTCGGTAGCGAGGGCTGGTTGCTTGGTTAGCGCGTCTTCTTCGTCTTCGTCTCTGTAACTGGCTTGAAGAGAATCCATTGACGAAAAGATAAGAACCTTAATGTCGATTAGGGTTTTAATTTGGGATCTGCATGGAATTGAGAAGCTGAAGAAGACGAGCGACAGAAACAGAGGAAAAGCGGGATTGTTGTTGGGTATAAGCTTAAAAAATTTGGGAGCAGCACGGAGCAGATAGACGAATACGATACGATAAAGGGTAATTTGGTAAATTAACTTGCGTAGTTTAAGGTTTTCTCGTCCATTCAGAATTTGCCCCCTTTTTTCCATATTGGGCTTTAACTTTGTTATTTTGAAACTTGGGCTTTTTCAATATTTGGGCCTCCTTAAAGCCCACGAATGCGTTTAAATTAATTTAGCTCAACAAAAAAAAATAATAATAATTGGACTAAATAAATAAATAAATAATTTTATTTTTTTTTAACACGTAGTATAATTTTTATTAAATTTATTTTAAAATTAATAAATTAAATATTTAATGCCAAATAAATTCAACATAAAATTATTTTAAAAAACTAAATATTTTATATAAATTAAAAATCAATTCATCTAACTTCTCAACTTCTATCTGCCCAATTCGTGTTGTTGGAAATTAATGCAACCCAACAAAATTTCGACGTGTTTGTATTTACAAAATTAGAACTCATGTAGATATTTTGAAATTAACATTTTATACGTAACATTATATATATATATATATATGTAATAATATGTAATTTTTTGTGACAAACATGTAAGAAATATATAATTAATCACATTACCAAGTACTATTAATTATTTGTATAATTAATTAATTAGATTCATGTAGTTTTGTATCAATTTAATTAATTTAGTTACGTATACATTATTCTTTTTTTTTTTTAATTTACGCACTTCAAATTTTGTATTTAACTAACGATCCAACATCCATACATAATTAATATGATTTAGTGGATTTATAAGTATATTAATGTTATATAAGTAATTTGGTCATTTTCGTCCACCAGTTTAATTAATATACATATATATATTTCATTAATGCATAATTAGTAATATTATTTTTTATTATAATATGTTTAATAATTATCAAACTAAATAATAGTATTTTAATTTATGTTTCTAACGTATATTCAAGTATATCGTTGCTAATATAAATTATCCATATTTACTCAATACTTATTATATAATTTCATTTTATATCGTGATGATATTTATTTTATATATATATAATATAAGGACATAGAGAGTATAGACTGGACCCATTTCATACTTGTCAAATTTAATACAATTTGTTATTCACATATAATTTAATATTTGAATATAATACGTATTTATTCAGTACAATAAATGTTTGTACATAAAAATTAATACTATTTTAATTTAATGTACGAGTTTTTTCCTTAATCAAATATATAAGTGCTTATTAAGTATAGTATTAATTAATATTAAACTAATTGAATTCATAATTAACTCCCAATAGTCAAAGCCAAGGGGGAGAAAAAAACAAAGAGATTAAAACTGAATGATGCATGCCTCAATAAATGTTGGAGGATGACTATTGACTTGAAATTGTATATGAATGTTTTCAGATTCAAAAATGGAATGCAACGGTTGAATTTTGTGGCTTCTAAAAGTTATAATATTATATATGTATGTATGTATGTGTGTGTGTGTGTATATATATATATATATATTTTATCCAATGGGAAATTTCAAAGTTTGTACACAAATTATTTATGATATTAAAATGGCTTCATTTGAATCGAACTGCGGACTTGACCTGGCAAAATGAAAGTCAACCAAGTCTCGCGCCTACAAAATGACAATGCGTGTTGACCGGTACTAATAATTTTGCACTACATATGACCCACGATGTTTAATATATAGTTAAAATTAAATTAAATTTTAATAAATTTATTATATTTCTTAAAAATTTAATTTATTAAAATTTAGTATAATTTTTTCAAATTTACTTATTTGTCATGTTAATGAACTAATAAAAAATGTAAGAGCCCAATTTAAAAATAAAAATTAATATTATGTTCAACAAAAGCACGTGGAATTTATATTTGTTTATACGATACATACAACTATGGCTTAGTTAATTAATTAATTAATTAATTAACGGGAAACCCGTCTTAGTTAATAATTTATATGATATATACAACTATTTTTTAATTAATTAATTAACTTAAATATTTATTTACATATATTCTAATTTTTGGGAGGGAAAACAAATATTATCCATAATAAAAATAATGTGGGTTTTTTGTGAAATTAAAATTACAAATAATTAAATATTTAAATTAACTATGTTTTTTTTTTAATGAAATATTTAATGTATTAATAAACAAGATGTAGTAATTATTAATGTTTCATTTTCGCCAACTACCCACCAAAGATTCTGGAAGGCTTATTCTCAAGAACTCTGCGGTCAACTAAAGATGACAATTAATACTGAATTGTTCTTCCAATTTTATTGCAGTCCACATTTATGCAAATTGTCATTTTCATTCCACAATTATTGGCACACTTCAATTTTATTTTATTTATTTTATGATCTTACGAAATTATATATACACATACAGGTATATAATTTTTTCAAATTTTAATATAAAATTTGATAATAATTAAGTGATAATATAATATATTAATGAAAATTCGTGTAGTATTACTCTAACGAAAATACACAGACGCGATAATTTATTATTGTATAAATAAATAAAAGTAACATTTAAATAGATTTATTTGGTCGACTGACTAATTTAATATGATGAATGATTTAAATTATTAACGTATTGATTATTATATTATTTTAATTTAATTAATTAAGATAAATTAAAATTTCAACTTAATATTTTTATTTTTTAAAATAATATTAAATTGTTATGACTAACAATACAAAAAAATAGACTAAAGAGTATAAATTCAAGATGTTATAGCTGTACTTATTATTGTTTTGAAAAATCAACTGTGACATAATTAATATTCAAAAATCATAAAAGTATATATGATTTAGGGAGATTTGAAGTCTTACCCAACAAATTAAATTATATTAAGATTAGCCAAATCAAATTATATTAATTAGAAAATAATTTATTTTTATTTTTTATTTTTTCTAAAAATTTAAACATGTAAAATATCATTAATAATTTTAATAAGTGATAATTTTACGTTAAGTCAAAAGTTCAGTTTATTTTATTTAAACAGTAAGTGATCGACAATTTTGTAGACGTATTATGAGTTATTAATGATGATTTATAATACATAATTTAGTAAGATAAAAAATTTAACTTAATTAATGTGTTTGTGAAAATATAATAATTAAATTTAACTTAATTAAGTAGTTGCTTGTAGAATAAACAACTAATTTTTATTATAAAAATAAATTATATTTTACTTTAATAAAACAACAAGTAAAATGATGGTACAAAATGAAAATATTAAAAAGATAATCAACCAACCCAATGGAAAAACTAATTATAATTCATTGTTAAACTTTATCCGTAATTGAATTTTGTAAATAAATAAATATAATTAAATCAGATTTTTAATAATTATTATTATCACCATTCAATAAATCTAATTATAACGGAATGTTCAATTAATTTAAAAGCATAGTAAATTTATTAAACTCAACATAATTTTTTAATATCGAATTTTATTAATATATTAATGAATTAAATTTTTTATTTATAATTAAAATTTATTAAATAATTGGTAGTATGCCTGGTACGCAAAATGAAAAAAAATCCAAAGAGTAAACAAGACAACATGCTCCTTTATGGTTCACCATGGAATCCATACGTGTCATGTTCCGATTGGTCCGTAAAAACAAGTTGGCGAAATCATGGGTGAGCCAAAAAAGACCCTCCCCTGAAAAAGACCCAAGTCCCGAGAAGAAAAGGCAGCAGATTATTAGATCTAAATTCTGAATAAAAATATACTTCGCCAGAGAGTCAGCGCCCTTCACGTCAGTATCTTCCTCAGTATACATAGCCCGGAGATTATTCCATACGGTGCGTCTCACTGGCTGTCACATTCTGATCGTCACCCTCAATCACAGCCATGTTTGACCTTAATAGTCTCACGTAGTGCCACGTGTCGTGATTTAAGCGCAGGACCATCGTGCACCCATACAGTAGGGGTTTGGTAGTCATCCTCATTTTCTTAAGACTGTGAAAACTCAAACACAGACAAACCAACAGTCCAGGTTTCGTAGCCACGCGTTATGGTGGGTCCAACTTGAAATTTTCTTCTTCTTCGCTTTGTTTCTCCACTAATCTTCTTTCTTTCTTCTCTTTTCTAGAAATGGTTATTTACAGATTATTCAATTAATTTATCTCTCTCTTTCTCTCTGCTTCGGGCGGTTACATAAATGGCATCTCTCCACATGAGGAGTTAGTCGTGCGAGGATCTCTCTTTCTCTTGTATCTTGTGTATCTCTGATCACTGAGCCATGTCTCCTAGCCAGCTCGGCCGTACTGTAAATAATCTATCCCTTGACTCTTTGTTAATATTACGTGCATTTGTTGTGTGTTTATGTTCGGGGATGGAGCTTGATGAGTTGCTTTTGTTTTTAGGGTTCGAATTTTTGTTTCACTTTGCAGTTTGATTGTGCAGTCCTTATGAATTGCTGTTGTTTTGAATTGTTTAAGTTTATCAATTTTGGTGCATGCGGCATTGTGATTTCGGATTGAGAAATGCCTGTTTTGATTTCGGAGCTAGTCGTTTGGGATGAGAATTGCTCACCACTGGTGGGATAGTGAAGCATTGAAGGCCATTTTTCAGAGACTGGAATAACTAGATTTTGTATATTATTCTATTTTCCGACGTCTTGGTACTATGACTGTGGAAATACTAATGCAATATTGCTTTTGTTTCTCTTTTCCAATTCTGCCATCTGATTTTCCTGTTGGGAGTTTTCTTTGAGATGCACTATTTTTTTTTGTTCCGCCCGCGAGCTGCAGGCCATGTAGTTGGTACTGTTTTGTTAAGTTATTCGCATGTTTGCTTTGAGTTGATATGTAAATACGAGTAACTTTATGTTGGAACGATTTAGGACTTGCAGGAGTCTTTATGTGTCCCCACCTTCGATTACACCCCAAATGAAATGCTACTTAGGACTTTCACCAGTAGGGTTCTTTTACTAAGATTATGACTACACGAACCCCTTTTGCCATTTCTAAGACAAATACATAATTGTTTATTGGGACGATCACATTGCAGAATAATTAAAAATGATATGTGTTGGTTTATGAACTGGAATTACTGTCGATCTTATCTCCCTGTCTCTCTCTCTCTCTTAATTTTTGCTTTATCCTACTTTTGATGTCCTTTTTCCAATTTGAACCATCTAATACATTGTTGTCTGATAGGATCCCTTAGGAAATGGAGATGCAAGTATTTCACGGTTACAACCAGAGAACGGTTTTGTTGATTCCCTTTCTCTCTTCCATTCTGAGAAGGCAGTTCAAGAAATTCTTCAACAGACTCCTGTTCATCGGACTGATGACCATCTTATAGAATTTTCAGAGGCACTAAGAAGTATGTTTATATTTATGATAAAACTTATTGGTATCTTGTTTCTTTTTTGGTAACAAAAGGAACGTAAAACCAGGATCAAAGAGCTGACAGAGACTATTCAAAACAGAAACAGGCCTATTTATGTCCTTCTATTGAAGCATAAATTGTATATTGGAATCATATTTTCTTCAATCTAATGCTTATACTATTTTCAATGGTTCCAGCTGTTGCAAAGGCGCTAAGACGATCTGCAGAAGCAAAGGCTTCTGCTCAAGCTGAGGCTGCTGAATGGAAGCGTAGATATGAATTGGAGAGGGAACGGAACCTGCAATTAAAGAATAAAGGTTTCTAATAATTTTAATGACATGCACAAACTATGACATGGGTTTTCTGCGCTAGCTAGTTAGTTTTTGTTTGTTGATAATGGAAATTTCAAGCTTTAGCATAAAAAGGAATATGGAGTTTGCTTAACCAGGCTTTATCACAAT